CGGCCCTGTCGGCGCTCCGGGGAACGGCGGCGCCGAGCCTGGAGCCACAGCCCCACCTACGGGCGGCGGGCCGACGCTCGTCTTGTCGCACGCCGCGGCCACCGAACTGTCAGCGCCCGAGTCGGGCCCGTGCATCCCGGGCACGGAGGCCACCACCACCACCACCGAGCCTCCGGTGGCGCCCAGGCCGCTGTCGCGCTCGGCAGTCTGCTCCAGAGTGCTGCTGTGCCGGATGCAGTCCCCCGAGCGGCTGAGGACGCTGCTGTCCGAGTCGCGCTCGTAATATTCCATACACGTCCACCGGCCGCGCCGGTACGGTTCCCCGCTGCCGTGGTCCAGCTTGATGACGCGGAAACGGGAACTGCAAGTGGCGGGGGGCTGAGACGGAGTGGCGGGCGCCGGGGTCCCCGCGCTGGCGGCCGGGGTGACCGTCGCCGCCAGGCTCTGCGCTAGCGCCCCCGCCACGCTCCGGGCCGCCACGCCGCCGCCCCCGTTGGCGGGCGCACCGGTGGCGGCCGTCGCCAGCTGGCCGTCCGGGACGGGGTTCGGGGACACTGTCCCGGGAGTCTCGGCATCCCCCACGTTGTTGAGCGTCTCTTCCGACGAGCTGCGCTCGCACGCCTCCTCCGGGCCGTAGTCCGTGGCCCGGGAAACGTCGAAGATCTCCGACGACACGTCCTCCGTGCGCGACTCGTCCGGGTCGTCCAGGCTCTCGGTGTCCTCGGTGATGCTCGTGGCCACCTGCGCGGTGGTGACGCTGGTGATCTGGAAGCAGCTCTTCTTCTTGGCCGGCATCTTGGACATGGTGAGGAAGGCCGGGAGGCAGACGCGCCGCCGGCTCCTCCGAGATCCCGCCGGAAGCCGACCGGGGCAGAGCACGGCCCCCGAGACAAAGTCCGAGTTCGCGCCGGGGTCTACGGCCCGCGCCGCCGGTCACGGGCTGCTCTGGGCGGCCGCTCGGCGACGCATCGTCCTGCGGCTTCCTCCTTCCTTCCTTCCTTCTTCCTCCTCGGCTCCCGCGGCCGCGGCGCTTCCAGGCCGGGCTGACGGCGGGAGCGTGGTCCAGGGGCGGGCTCGGTTCGTAGGGCCGCCGCGGTCAGTCCAGCCCGGCGCTCGGCGCGGTCAGCAGGCCCGGCTGGGGGTGGAGCGGAGGGCGCAGGAGGCGGCGGCGTGAGGGGCGGTTCTGCCCCGCTCGGGCTCCTCAGGCCGGGGCCCGCGTCAGCTCCCGCGCGGCGACGCCGAGGGAAGAAGGCGGAGCGGCGAGCTCGGAGCGGCGGGCCGGGCTGCTGGAGGTCCGCGGCGGGCGGCGGCCCTCCCTCCGCGGCTCTAGCCGGAGCTCAGCCCAGGGGACATGTCGACGACGGCGGCGGAAGCCCGCTCGGGGGCGGGGAAGGCTGGCAGGCTCGGGCCTCCCCTCGGGGAGCCACCCCGCGGCGGCGGGCTTGGCCTCCCTCGCGGCTGTGTGGAGTGAGGGGCGGCGGCGGCTGAATGAGCGGCGGGCGGGCGGAAGCGCTCGGCGGCGTGAGGTAGCGGCGGCGGTGTCTTCAGCTCCTCGTCAGCGCGGCCGGCTCCTACAGCCTCGGAGAAACTGAAATTCAAACTGCTGAAGCAGCGGCTGCAGCTCCCTCCCCTCGGCCAAGATGGGGCTGAAATGGCCGCGCCAGGGATGCTGGGAGGAGCAGCAGCAGCCCGGCTGCCGCCGCCGCCGCTGACTAAAATGCCGCCGCTGCCGCAGCCACCGCCAGCGCCGCAGCCGCCGCCGTTCCGTGACGCGCCGGCGTCGTGACGTCACTGCCCCGCCCCCTCCGGTTTCCTGCAGTTTCTCGTGGAGGCCGGAGGGGGGGTTGTGGGCGTGGCCGAGGGGTAGAGAGAGGGGAGCGGGTTCTTTATTTAAAAAATTTTAAATTTAAATTTTACGCTGCAGGGTCATCAGGGGCCGGAAAGCCACCGGACGGCCTTTTAAACTGCCAGCGTGGAGAAGCTTACTGACGCGCTCGCCGGATGGTTCTAATGCCGGTGCGCCGAGGCACCCGGTGACTGGAGGTCATGTGCTGGGGCTCATGTTCAGCTCAGTCCCAGTGGAACCGGGGCGGCGGGGAGGAAGGTTGGGGCATCCCCACGCAGTGCAGAGACGCGCGGCCGACTAAAAAGCCCTGAACATAAATGACCGCCGTAGTCAGAGAAGCGAGATGTTTAAGAGACGTGGGGATGGTTAGCGGAGGACAGCAAGCCAGATGAAATCAGAAAAACGATCTTTCAGACAGAAATTGTGTCTTCAACAATGGCATCAGGGAGGGTTACTTGTCCAGAGTGAAGTCATTTTAAGAAGAAAAAAAAAAGAGGAGTTAACATATTCTAAATTTTCCTGAACTTGCTGTGGTTCTAGGATAGAAGAGTTCATTTAAACTTTTGAAATTGCTTTTAGTTTCCACACGGAATCAGCTTATGGACTATTAAATGTAGAACCTACTGTGTTATAGCTGTAGATCTTTTTTTATTCCAAAACTTATTGGAGCCATGGTGTTACTTGGTTTGTTTTGGATCCTGTACATCCCGAGTGGGTGAGAAAATATTAAGACAAGCAGTGGCTGTGAAAGTATCTGAATTTCTCATCTAGTAGCTACTTTGCTGCAAAAGAAAATGGGAAGGCCATTTTCTGCTTTTGAGACCCGGTGTTGTTCTGGCTCACCTGGAACTCCCTACTTAAAACCAAAGTGGCTTGACCTTGTGGTGATCTCCCTGCCTCTACCTCCCAAGTGCAAACACTGGCCACTTTTGAACTTTTGACATATGAAAACAGGCCTCATTAAGTTAACATCTAAAATCTTGCTGGAAATCAAAGTTTCATATTTATTGCAGCTTTAGAAATCACATCTTGATGACTTACATAAATCATTTTACTCAGTTCTCTAATATTTAAAGAACAGAAAAACTTTTTATCCAAAAGATGATTTGGGAATTATCTGCACGGATTTTCTTTTAGCCTCTTAGCTGTATTTTATGGAGATAGATCTTTTAAACTCAGTAGAACTGCCCTTTCAAGCCAAGTAGCAGCAGTTAGTATATGAACCAAAACCTCACGGTAACATCCCTGTTTCTTTAGGGGTAGGAGAGTAAAGAAACGTTCTGTTTTATGCCGGTATTATGGCTGATAGATGTTTCATTTCTAAATCTGTAATTTCAGTAATTTCTCCAGACAGTTTTCCATCAATAAGTTAGAATAATTGACTCATTAAATCCAATATGAATATGAAAATTTATTTCAATTTTGATTGTTAAAAGTGATTATCATGCATAGTGCTGACCATGAGACTTATGGAAAAATATATGCCTATTCATCCTATTACATTATTACACAAATTTCTTGATTTTTTTTGATATTCTTTTTATTTCTTTTTTGAGACAGTGTCTCCCTATAGCCCCAGCTGGCCTGGAACTCTCTATGTAGGCCAGGTTAGCCTCAAACGCACAGAAATCTGCCTGTTTCTGCCTCCCAAGTGCTGGGATTAAAGGTGTGCACTGCCATACCGGTTTGTTTTGATATTCTTTTTTTTTTTTTTCTGGTCTTTTTGAGACAGGGTCTCCCTGTAGCCCCAGCTGTCCTGGATTCACTGTGGAGACCAGGCTGGCCTCAAACTCAGAGAGATCCACCTGCCTCTGCCTCCCGAGTACTGGGATTAAAGGTGTGCGCCACCACGCCTGGCCTGTTTTGATAATCTTAAGTCATACATTTAAAGGTGGGAAAAGTAATAGGTAGGACCATTTCTTAAAGAGTTGGCGAGGGATTTACTATGAAGTGAAAATAAAGATAAAACTATTCCAAAGAAACAAATTTTTGGTTCAAAAGAACTAGACATTACAAGACATTTAAGGATTATAAAATGAAAATGTTTGATTTAGATGTTTGCTATATGGGTGTATATGTGTGTGTAAATAAATAGTTTTCTTGAAAATAACATTTTCCAAAACTTTAAAGACTTTTAGCTTCTTTTGTATATTTACCTTTTAAAAAATGTAGAATTTAAGAGGCAGAGACAGGTAGATCACTTGAGCCTAGGAACTCCAGGCGGGCCTTGGTAACCTATCAAGATCCCGTCTTTTAACAAACAAACAACTCCCCACAACCTAGGTTAAAAAAAAAAAATGAAGAGAATTTATTACTTCAGACTGTTATGAAGAAATGATGAGAATTCTGGTTGTTTCAAGGAAGTTTGAAATCCCTGTACAGAGGACAGAAAAATAGAACTATCTCCACAAAACTGTCTCTACAAAACGTATATAATTCATAGTTGGTTCACAAAAAATTAAAAGCCTTCAAATAACCAAACAAAATGATCAAACCAGTGTATACAATCAAGCACCTTTGCTGGTGTGTGAACAGTTGTTAATAAGTAACATGGTAGCCCCACTTATAAGAACTGGAGAGGTCCCAGGGGAGCCAGACTTGAAGACCAAGGGCCTTAATGCAGTTAGTCTGGCGTGCCTGTACCCACAAACCATGCAGTGGGGGTTGTTGAAATCCTTGATTACTATTCTCTTAGACCCCCCAACCTGACCATTTGCCCTACATCTGGTACTTCCTTCAAAGACTTCACATTTCAGCAGTATATGGGAAGTATATTTAGGAAGAACAATGTAAAGGGGAAAATTCTGAAAGGACTATTTTCACAGATAGAAAAACAATGCTGCAACAGGAAATTTTCATCACTTGCAAATGTCATACTTCTGGCCTATTTTCTGGTGTATCAGTGCAATGGCGAATTCTTTCATAGTCATAAGATCTTGGAATGTCAGCTGCAGGTATTCAAGAAAACCTGACATTTTCCATCCCCCAATGGACAATGATACCTTAAGGCCCAGAGACAGGGGCTGGAGAGATGGCTCAGTGGTTAAGAAAACTCAACTGCTCTTGCAGAGGACCTGGGTTCGATTCCCAGCACCCATATGTGGCTAATATCAGTAATTCCAGTTCCGGGGGAATCCGAACTCCAGTTCCGGGGGAATCCGACACCTCCTTCTGACCTCAGAAGGCATTGCGCGACATGGGGCACTTACACATATGCAGGCAATACACTCATACACATAAAATAAAAATAATAAATAAAATATTTAAAAAAAAGACCCAGAGATAGAAAACATAAAATGCTTTCTGTAGAAATAAGGTGACTTCCCAGGCTAAGAGAAGTAATCCTTTAGCATGAATGCTAAAACCAGAGACATTTGTTGTACATTTTGTGTATTAGTAATTAGATAGCCTATATTCCAATGATGAAGTTATTCTGAGTTTTAGAAATAGCTTATGTTTCTTTTCTGTGCTTTTATCACTCATTTATTAGAAAATTACAAGATGAAGTATTTTTCAGTTTTTGAAAAACATTCACTAGAAATAAATATCAGTTGTCTAAATAAGAAGTCTTTGATTTTCCCAGTGTTCTGTTTTTGAAACAATATATCAATAAACCCTTACATATTATTAATAAACAGTATATTAATAAACACACCACTGTGTGATATTATCCAAACAAAGGAAGAAAAAATACAGTGAAAAAGGACTAAGGCTATGAAGTCCTCTAAATACTTTTATAAAGGAAAACAATCGGATTGAAGCATAAAGCGTCTTACTTGAGAATGAGCCACCTTTCACATTTTCACATTTAAGAAAACTTCTGATAGACACACCTAGAATTAGCTATACTATGAAAACTAGTGATTTCCCCTCACTTTTCAATGCTGAAAACTTCTTTGAAGTTGAGGCAAAATGTAGCATTTGGGTGAAAGAATAGACTTAATTTTGAAGTAATAAATATAATATCCTATTATAGCTTGTTCCATGGCTCTATCAGTTAATGAGTATATTACTCTCTTTCAACAAGTTATATGTGGCCACTTGGGATAAAATGAAAGAAATCTACATTGCCTAATTGGAGCGATCAGGAAAAAGTTCCAGTTTTGTTATAAAATTGTTTGGTGATGGCTGATGAATCTATTAACCCCTCCGTTTATCCATTCCCAAGAAGAAACAGCATAATAGCAAAGAAGTATTGTTCTACCAAAGCCACTGAAAAGATGTATGGAACAGACAGCAGATGCGGCTGTGCGTTGGCATATTGTGAGAAATGACTGCAACTTAAGGTGATACTACTGGGAATAGCATTTCCAATACCATTTGTTAATTTAAAAGAAAGTGGTTACAGGGCTAGAGAGATGGCTCAGCAGTTAAGAGCACTGGCCACTTTTACAGAGGATCTGTGTTCAATTCCCAGTACCCAATGTCCTTAATTCCAGTTCCAGAGGATCTAACTCCCTCTTCTAACCTCCACAAGCATTGCATGACACTGGTGCACTTAGATACACGCAGGCAATGCACTCATACACATAAAAAAAAAAAAAAAGATTTTTTTTTAAAGAAAGTAGTTACCAGATATGCATGAATTCTCAAAGAAACCATATTCTATCATAGTTGAGCTCATTTATTAGTAAACATTCAATGGCATATTAGTTTATAAAATGAGTCATTAGCATTTTTTCTGTCTTCCATATATATGAATGAGGTGTACACATAAGTATGCATATGTGTTGCTTAAAGTACAATGTTAATTTGCAACCTCAACACTCATAAAATAACATTGGAAGATAGTGTTTATTTCTGGGCTTCTGGTATATCTGTCAGTTTACAATGATTTAAAAAAATATGGTGTAGAAACTTGTATAAATTGTAGTTTAATGTGAAAGATGGTCCACATGTTGTTCTTAAGCTTTTAAAAGCT